CAGCGGGACGGGACGGGACGGGACGGGACGGGACGGGCAGCCCGACGTCCCCGCCGCCTGCCCGAGAGCTGCCGCCTCCGCGTTCCCCCCTCCCCGGAGGGCACCGCCGGCCGCTTCCCGCCCCTGCCCCGGCTCCCGGGTGCCTTCCAGCTGGGCGGGCGTAGGCCACGCCGTACGGCTGCTAATTAAAGTGATCCACACCAACAGATTGGGTTTTTAAATGTAAGGACGCGCGTGCAATTAACAGGCACGCTCAGCATTGTGGCAGTTCGCAACGGTTCAGCCGGTTTGGAAAAAATCACTGCAAATTCAGGAGGAGCGTTTTCATTAGCGTATACCTGTAGTCACCCACAAACACATACAATGTATTTACACAGTCACCAGCAGAATCCTACAGCACAGACTGGTGACAGTACATCGAAAGCTTGCTGTGCACATGATGTTTGCATAGGACACAGTTAATGTTGACAAAATCAGTGATAAACTTAAATGGCAGTTCGGAAAAAAAAACAACCCCTGCCACAAAACAGCCCAGGAATATTGTAGCGTGTGAGATGTTTAGCCAATCGACTACAAATAAAGAGTAGCTTACCTTTTAATTGCTATTTTAGCGTGTCCCCCAGAAGCACTGAAAATGCCTGTACAGAGCTGCCGTAGTGCCGAGGAGTTGCTGGAGTGAGTCTCCAAAGAGTGGTAGAGGGGGATGCAGCTCTGTCCTTATTAGTCTCACACAGTGTGACCCTCCCACTCAGCGAGCACAGAATACTCTGCAAGAAAGGACAAACAGCCACTCAGACACAGATTTTACATAATCATACTTGTATATCCCAAGTCCAGTAACAAGGTAAGAAATGGTTTTTTTCCTCCTTCCCCCTACTCCCCCCCCCCGAAAAAAACAGTTCCATAAATTAAACTGCCAGAGCATGAACGCATGAATGAAAGAGTATCTGGTTTCTAGTTGTAAAGAACCAATTATGTACATTAGCACACCGGCAGAAACTAGCTTTTATCACTTAAGTGTAAGCACACATCATTAATTTTATATACTTTATCATAAATTTAAAAAACAGCCACCCAAGTAACCAAGAGAGTGCACCTATTTATGGCACTGATGCTGCAAAGCACAGCAGATCGCTGACATTTGTTTTGCCTTTTAAAATCTCTCATTTACAAACCTCAACGCTCTTGCACTGTAATATCATCTGTCTGTGATGAAATGGTGAGATTGAGCACTGCCACTGGCTCTCATCTGAACGTGTGAAACTGCACTTTTCTCAGGTTCTCCAACTGCGCTTGTGGCAGTTTTCCATATTGCATTTTAAAGATGTAAACCAGATAGAAGGACGGAGAAAGTAAAACTAGAAATAGATACACAGAAGACAGAGAGACTAGGCTTTAATTAAACACATTTATACATATCCAAGACATATTTTATCTTTTTCTAGTAGAATCATTCTGACAGGGGAAAAAAAGTAAGGTGGTGACTATTATATGAAAATTCATTAGCTTAACATCAATTTAGGCCAATTGGTCTTCAGGTCAGAAAATTCATAAGGTTAGCATTTTGCACCCCCCCCCCCCCCCCCCCCCCCGTTTTGAAAAGTGTTTAAGCGTTTCCTCATTTCAACCAAGGTAGCTAGCCAGGATAACCAACAAATCACATGGAAAGACATGATTATCTTTCTGGTTTAAATTTCAAAACAGTTGTTGTTCTTCCCAACTTAGAATCACGAGAGAAAGATGAAATTGCAGCTTACGTACATGTCTGCTAGGGTGTTTTATTCCACAACTTTGCCACAGACTTGTGGTGTAACTTTAGGCAAGTCACACTTCTCGCTTGCTCATTCTGTAAATTATAGAAAGTAAAGCTGCCTTACCTCGCAGGGCAAGGCGCAAGAGCCCAATCCTACAGCTGACAAATCATTAGAGCACTCCCTTCCCCTCCCGACTGTTCATTTGATAAAGGCTTCAGTGTTGAGCCCTAAGTCAGTGTTTCAAGCACAGTTACAAGATCCTCAGTTGAAAGACCCTTTGTAAAAGCTCTGCTCCTAGTGAAAGGCATTATCATTTTTGATTTGAAAAGAACTGCATTTCTCATTGCTCTCTCAAGCTACAAAATTCTTAAAATCTTTTTGGTTTACTTCATTGTACATGCCCTAAATATCTGGATTCAGCTGTTGTTGCATGAATATACAGAGTCTTACTAATTTCAGTGAATATAAGTTCTGAATTAGCTAAACATTTTAATTGTTTAACACTTTGCACATACAATCAGTTCTTCCTTGTATTTCTGTCCCTCAAAGTTTCAGTATTGCTCAAAAGTGCAGATCCAAACTGGGTCTTCATTTCCTGTGAAACAATAATGAAACATAACCCCTAAACCAAGGATGTTGTTCCACTTACCGAGGTATTGACACTCCAAATAGAAAAATAAATATACCTTATTTGGACCACGTCAACTTCAAAACACTCCACATCTGTAGGAAAGCAGTGAGTAGAAGAATTAGAAACAACTACAGCCTTCCCTGGCTAACACACGCTTCCTGTACTCTGGCCCAGATCTTTAACTCAACAGGATTATGCCAGTTCACATAAATCAAAGGAATTACACCGATTTATACTAGTTGAGGACCTCGACACTAGGGACTGCCACCATATGTATTTATGGCCAACGCTGTTCACGTTAACGAATACAGTCTCGAGTATCTAGTGACATGAAAATTGGCAACAAGGAAAACCTTACTGTTTACAAACTTCTGTCATGAACCAAAAAAGGGCTTCTCTCTCTGCCTAAGAAGCAAAGCCACAACTGGCAAAACATCTCTGTTACCATAAACAGCTTAGAAATCCCAACAGCCTGCACTCTTGTTCACCTGCGCACAGTTACTGGTGCACTCCAGGGAAACATTGTCTATACATGACCTCATCTCCTTTGTACCCGGAAAGTACTGGAAACACCAATGATAAGAGCTGAAGCACCCACTGAAAATGGACGATATCCCATGTTATCTTTGCAGTAACACAGTTTTCCAGCTATCTCAGAGTTTAGCTAAAGCACTTACTTGCACACAGAAGACAGGACTAGACCCAGATCCAGGCAAGAGCCAAGGCAAATACACCAAGAAGCAGAAAAGAGAGAAATTTAAGTTTGAAACCGTACTTGGCACAGACGCACAGAGCACGTTCCATCTCCTGCGCCAAGGGTGAACTGCTCCACTGAACAGCTTTTCCTACAACTGCAGTTGCAGGCAAGATGCAGGGGAAAAAGGTGAGAGGATCAGGGGGCAAAGACTCTTTTTTTTTGTAGAAAATTCTTCGTTATTGCCGACACTCACTTTCAACCTTTGTTTCTTTTTCGGCACAATTAGATATCCAAACCAGCCAAGTAGCATAATTCACTCTTGTCTGTGTGGTGCTAACAGATTTGTCTCCATCTCGTTAGTGAGACCCACATTTTTAACGTGTGTTTCTTACGACAATGCATATGCAGGAATGAAGCTGTAAACGACAAAACTCTTCAAAAGCAGCAGTATTCTATTTGAAATCAGTCTTTTAAAAGGAGACTAATTTGAAATGCCCCTTACCATGCTATTTCTCACTGAATGTAGAGCTTAGTATCTCTATTCTGTTGTATAAGCCCTTATGTGGGATTGTTCCTTGCCAGATGATCCTTTCTGCCCTCTGCAAGATTTCTCGGTCATGACAGCTGCATTCCACTGAAGCAATTAAAATATAAATGCTTTTAAATACATTAGACTGAACTAGAATGAACTTGGACAACACAGGTGGAATCCCAGCCTTGGGAAAGTTAATGGAAA